AAAAAAAAAAAAAAAATTAGATGAGTGGTACACGATTTTATGTTACAAAAAGATTTTTTGATTTTATGAAAATAAAAAAGTAAATTTTTATTATTAAATCAACCATAATATTTTTATCCAAAAAAAAAAGTGAATGAGCGGTTTCTGTTACAAAAAAATTTTTTGATTTTGTGAAAATGAAAAAGTAAGTCTATCTTGTACAACTAAATAAACAACCTCTCCACTTTTTTAGCCCAACATCTATCTCTCATCCGTTTTTTCATTACAAAAAAAATGAAAAAAATAAACAACTTCTCCACTTTTTTAGCCCAACAAAAAATAAACAACTTCTCCACTTTTTTAGCCCAACATTTATTTTTCATCCGTTTTTTCATTAAAAAAAAAAAGAAAAAAGAAGTTGCTATTAATAGCATGTAATAAATGCATATTGAGTTTGACCTGCTATTTTTAAAAAATGGTAAATCTTATTATATAGATATAGATTTAGAACTATAAACAATGAAAAAAGTAAAATAAAATGTATGAGTATTATATTATAAAATCTTCCAATGAAGCATGATAATTTTTTTCTTTCCTACATTCTTTTTTCTTTTTTCTTATATTACGTCTTTTTCTTATCTTTTTTTTTTTTACTTTTAAATTTTATTTTCTTAAGATGTTGGAAAATTTTTTACTATTTTCATTTTAACATTTATTATATACAAAATAAAATATTCATCAATCTTTCCAAAATTTGGAATCACTTTAATAAATAAAAAGGAAAGAATATGAAGTTATAGTATAATTATAAACCATAAAAGTAGCAAATAAATTATATAATTATAATATCTATATTGTTTTGAAATCAAATACTTCGGCAGTTAGTTAAGTTTTCAAAAATTCCTAAATAAATTTTAATCTATGTATAAGTAATTATAATAAAATAATATGTCAATCTTTCACATTTTTATTTTGTGCACAATAGATTTAACAATAAAGTATATACTTTTATCTAAAACCTTTATGATTACATATCATGCTTTACAAAAATATATCTATAGATAAGTTAATAATAACCAAATAAATATTATTATGAAATAAAACAAATTCTAAAAATTAATAGAATGCATATACGTAGACAATATTTATTTTGAATTTGCTTAATTATTTTTAAATTATTTACATAACTAAATAATATTAATGTATATTAAGTATTTATCATTATATATATATATATAGAGAGAGTTAAACTTTTATAAATATTATAAATAATAATAATAATAATAATGACTTTATACAGCAATAAATTTTCTTAAAAAATAATAGTGAAGTTTTATAATGAACAAAAATAAGTAAAAATATTATTTTGTCTATATCAAAAAATAAATATAGATGTTAAAATAGTATTTATTAATACTGTTATCAAGCTAACATATTCTTAAAATAAATTTTTAAAAAATATTTTAAGAAACAAGTCCGTCGTGCATCGCACGGGATACACACTAGTAAATACATATAAAATGATAGATAAATAGCCATATAATATTAGACACATTCTAATAAAAATATTTTTAATTTGATTATTTGGACTGTATTGTACTTATTGAAACAAATTAATATTTTTAATATTGAAGTTCATATTTAGTCTCAATTATGGATATTGCCCGACCTAATTAAACCATAATATGGTCACCCGATACGCAACCCAAAGGTGTGTCATGTTTGTAATTTTATTTTACAAATAACGAGAAAGTAATCTAATTCAATCAACATGGTTGACCTGGATTTTCTTTTAACAGAAAATTATGTTAAATTTTATGAAATCAAAATAATTTATAACCCATGCAGTAAAAACAGCTAGACACTATGTGTTCGGGCGAGGCCATCGACGAACCTCGTCTGGCCGCAGACGGTGAAGCAGGACAACAGCGGCGAGGCTTCCGACCGGACCATGTCCATGCATGGCATGGAGTTCGCAGACGGTGATACATCCTGAAGATGGTCGCCGATTGGATAGTTGTAGATTTTTGGTGTTGTGAATTGTCTTGATTTGAGAGGTTTTATTTAAAAAAATTTGATATGAATAATGTATTAAAATACAATTTTTTAACACTTTTAATATATTTCAATTTAGTACATTAGGCAAATTGGTAATTTAATAAAAGTATCAGGGACTTAGTTGCAATTTCAGAGATTTAAAATTTATTAGAATTTAGTTTATGGATAAAATTTACGATTTAACAAAAACGTAATAAATGCACAATAATGTTCACTACAATGCACAATAGTATATGTAAATGCACATTAAAGTTCAAACTAATTACAATATGTAGAATATTGTTCATCGGTCGGTTCGGTCGAACCGACCTACTGAAATGTCAACACCGAAACAAGTGATTCGTACTTTAAAAAAAATGAACGATCGATTTTTTTAAACATGTATTTTATAGGTAGAAAAATATATTACCGAATAACAATACATTAAACGTGTATTTGGTGGTCAATATTTTGAAAAATCCTGTCAATATATACACAATATTGTTAATCGGCTAGCGTCGATATTTTCGAAGATTTATATGTTTAAGGAATAATTAATAACCGAACTTTTTAAAGTAAAAATAAATGCTCGAATTGAAATATAAAAATTCGAACCAAAATATTTAGTTTGATCGTTGTTGTGTCTTCTGACAATCATTAATGTGCAATTCGTTTAATCGTTGTGCACGGTTCGATTGTTGTTGAAAAGTCTGAAGTTGTCGAACCTTTATCTCAAACCAATTAAAATTGAACCGATATATTTGGCTTATTCGGTTGGTTAACCGAATTAACCAAAATAACATAAATAAGAATGTTATTCAAATTACGAAAATATATTTAGCATTTTTAATATCTATTTTTATAACATATATATATTTTGTTTTTTGCTTAAATGAATAATTCTTTTATACAAATGTAATCCGACATCGAACCTAAATAATTTAATTGAAAGTAATAACAGAGACTGAAATCCAAATAATTGAAATTTTAAAAGTAAATATATATATATATATATATATATATATATATATATATGTATATTGTACTGACATATAAACATTTGGATGGAAAATTTTAGATCGATCGGTTTTGGCCAGTATTATGTCGTCTGTCAAACATTAATGTTCAATTCGTTTAACACTATTGTACAATTTGAACATACTGAAATTTTGTCCAAAACCAAATTGAATTCGAACAAAAATACTTGGTACATTTTTAATGTGCATATCTATATGAGTTAATGTTTATTTTATTTATTAGTATTGTTCATTTATTAACTATTTTAATAAATTATTAAGTTTTTTTAATAAATTACATCTTCGACCCATTAACTAAATCATATTGTTGTTAAATATTTAAAATTGCATATAAGTCCTTGTAACTTATCAAATTTATAAAATAAATCCCATGACCCGAAAAAGTCATCTACGATTGTCCCTGTCGCACCAACCAACCATCCATGTAACCGGTGATTCACCCCGTCATGCTGAGACCTGCGAAGACCTCGCCGGTCCACTGTTTTCTAATGTTTTTTGTTTCTATTTCATGTTAATCGAGTTTGACATTGACTTTTGTGTTCATCGATTTTTCGATCGCGGTCGATGTTCAAACCAGTAGTGTCGCGAACGGTCGTGAATCGCTACGGTAGGTAGCATTTCGGACGAAGAGAGCGGTTGCTCTAGTTGGTGTCGCCGCCACCGGAAGATACGAGATTCTTCTTGTTGTTGTTCGAAACTACAGGAGGCCTGTGAACATGGTGAGCGGCTCCGTCGACATACTTTGGACCGCGAATTGGCGCGTCTGCCAGGCGGCAGTGGAGGCGGTCCTCCGAGGTGGCCGGTCGAAGTCGATGCTGAATCTCATCGGGGGACGGTTAACGACTCCTCAGACTGCATGGAGAAGTATGGGCGGCTGCGCTGACTGGCGGCAATGGCCGGACTGACGGCAGGTTGGCAGGCAACGGCGATGGTCAAACTGACGGTGTGCGCGCACGCGTGTGTGTTCAGTGTGTTTCAGTCGTGTGTGCGTCGAAAGTGTTTTGTGTGTGAGAGGGAGGGAGTGGGGGTGAGGTGTGGTGGGACCCACTGTTGGTAAGTGATTGAGATGGTATAATGACTAATTTACCTTTAATGAGTGAAAAATTGACATTTTTTAGTCGTTAGATCATCCGATTCGATAACTGAGATTTATTCTCATTTCTTTTATTGAGTATCATACTCACAGAAACCCAATATATATATATATATATATATAGGTCAGGATATTAAATTTGGTTATTCCGAAATTCTATTTCAGCTTTGAAATTTCTAGATTTTCTTATCAAATAGAAAAATCTCATCGGCGTCGAGCATGAGTGACGAAATGACTGATACTCACTAAAGCTTAGAATCCTTTAAAAAGCCTATCTATGAATCTATTATATTCGACAGCATCCAACATGCAAAACTTGCTCTCTATTACTATTTCTATAATGAACGATAATATTATGCTCATCAAGTAATAGTTATTCATATTAGCTAAGAATTAATGTTTAGCCACAAATTCATAGGTTTGAATAATTGAAAAGAAAGAATCATCGGGCAAACGATTGTTGGTCCAACTCCAACCTACGAAAGCATGAAATACAGAATCATTCACGCCTGCCAAGTGAAACCGGAAAAAGGAATTATTTACGCTAATACATGTCAAATGTGACGTTTCCAAGTTGAAAGGAAGTGAATCTATGATTGCAATATCTTGTTAACAGAAATTTTTAGGTGCTCAAAATCTTGAAAAGCAACCCTGAGGGAAAAATACGGAAACGAGGGATAAGGTATAAGAGATTTTCCCCACACGAGATTCTGTTCACGTAAAACTATGAACGAATACGCCGGCGAGACCCACAACAAAATAGTTCAGCACCACTAAGAAATGCAGACGCATGCAAAGCGGATATAGTGAAAATGCAGTTCCCCAACTCACTTCCTATCCAGTTACAGAGCACAGTGTGAAATTAGTCAAATCTACGATGTGTTGTACAAAATTCAACATTCTTGCAAAGGAGCTTGGAAAAACACTTGTCGAGCATTCCAACAAAAAAGATATTCACGATGTGTACTGAAAAGGTCTCGGGGGTTCAGGTTCATCATCATCCACAGCCATAGCAGCAGCAGAGGATCCATGCTGCCCGGCATTCGATGCCGTTGTTGATGGGAGAGCATCGGTGAGGATTAATTCTTCGGGATCATTCGGACGCAAATCCTTCAGAAGCACAAATCCCGAGCTGGCCGATGTCACTGGGATGTATCTGCTCTCCTCGAGGAATTTGATGAATTTTTGTTGGGCAGGGACCACCCTGGCTGGGTTGGTCAGAATTTCAAATGTTGGCTCGGGTTCAGATTTCTTCTCCGGAGTGGTGGTATCAGCCTTAAAATGGGGAAATGCAGATAAGAGTCGGTTAACACAAACTGAAGAGCGAATCTATGTGAACAAAAACCATAAATAAAAGTTGCAGAAGCTATTCCTGAAGTTTTAAGGTAACTACAAGGGGGAAAAAAAAATCAACTAATTTTGAAAATTACAAGGACTGAAGATGAGATTTGAGTCCCATCTTCCTCTGCAAACTTACTGTTGGTTGACAATTACAAATATTGCTGATGTCATCAAATAAATTACAGTCGGGCCAAAACTTTTCTAAGAATGGTACAGGACCTAAGAACATACGTCTAGCGTATTTGTAATATCTAGAGAACAAGGCATATACAAATGTAACCAAGCATATAATGACACCAGCAATTAAACCAGCAATTAACATTGAGTTCCACCAACTGTGGCCAGTCAGAGTCAAGGATGTTTCTTCTAATTTCCCGAGTAATCTTAGATTACTTATTTCTTTCTCTCCAATTCTTTTCTAGGTAGTAAGAAGACCAATTCGCAAGGTAGTATTGCTAACAAAAATGAGAGTTTGAATCGACACAAGGAACTAAGCAAAAACCAACCTGCATGGAGTCACTGTCCTCGCCAGAACTTTTAGCCTTGCCAGAACTTGTCTCGGCCTTGTCAGCCTCTTTCTTACTGACCCTTGCCTTGGCCCTTGCTGATGTCGATAAAACCACTGTAGGTAGTTTAACAGCTGAAGTAGTGGTAGGCACAACTGTAGGCTTAGGGTATTCAAACAATGAAGGCTTTGCATGTGACAGGAAGTCAAACTTTGGCACTTTCAGGTCATAGTTCAGACCTATGAAGGCAGTTGGTGAAAATGCCAGGCTTATGAAATATATAAGTGGGTACCAGTACCAAAACTGACTGAACACAGCAAGACCAACAACTGCCGTAATTTTGTCGTGTTTCGATTTTGAAAGCAACTTGATGGTCACATTCCTTCCACCAGCATCTAGAATTCCGGAGGCTAAAATTGCACCCATCTTGCTCATTGTGTCTTCATGCTTGCCTAGTATAATCTTTTCCAGTTTCCGCCTAAGCATTTGACAGATGAAGTCAGATGAAGAAAAAGCTTGTCGTAAAAATTAAATGTAACTTGTCTCCAAATTTCAGTCCATTTCCATTATCGGAGTGAATAGTGATGAAAGATTCTTGTGAAAACTGGATGTTTAGTGAAAAAGTAACCATCGTGACAATGTGATGGAGAATCTTTTCAAGATGTTGAATGCTAGTGAGAAAATTAACTTGTGGAAATAATTGTATATATACAGTCAATTAAATTTGAACAAAAAAGGAAAATTTGAACAATGGGTGATCCGGATCTCATTTCACCTGTCCTCATGTCAAGAAAAACTACTAAACATGGTATTAATTAAAACACTGCCAAATTTCTTATTTGAATAGGAAGGGTGGGAGAAGAAAATAAAAGAGTTAATAGTAAGAGGATGTAGAATTTTGCATGAGAGACGAATAGAAATATAAAACTTACTCACAACCACAAGTTCCACAGATTTATGCCCAGAGATGAAAATTCCAAAAGAATTTAACAAGCATAAAGACCAAGTGTAACACACCAATCAAATACAATACCTGAAAGTACCAACACGAGAATCACTAGTTTCACTGATCTGGATCATCACCATCGCCATTGCAATTAGAGCACCTTGACGAACAAAGTCAACAACATCTGATGTAAGAGGCTCCAGCAACGATATGGCCTCACTGAGACCAGTGCCCGCACAAGAAATCCCGACTGCCAGTGCAGCACCATACCGAACATGTGGATTGTAGGACTCTGACAATAAAGAAACAATTCTAGGGGTCTGCATTTTGAAATGAAGTAAATAAAACAAATTCAGAACATATGGAATTTATACAGCCCAAAGAGTCCATCAATATATAGGGTTCAACAGACTTACAAAAGAAAAGGCCAGAAAAAAAACAACAAGAGAATGCACAAACCTGTTCGGGCTCAGAATACAACACAAACCCAAGGGCAAGAACAGCAGTCCGCCTGACATCATCGCTGGCATCTGACACGGCAAAGTGCAGCAACTGACGTATGGCTTTATTGCTGGACGTTCCTCTGTACGCCAAGCCCAAAGCATACATGCCACCATAACGTATTATGGGATCCTGATCGCGAGTCATCTGCTCAATCAGTTCATCGGCTTCTTCCTCTCTGCCATAGACTGTAAGTGCTATTCCCAAGGTCAAACCCCTATTTAAACGCCATACACAAAATAAATTAATGGTAAAAAATAATAATTTTTTAATTGAAAAAAGAAAAGAATTGTCAGAATTATTTATCACATTCACATCTTTTAGAATCTGATTTACCTAATAATCTTCTCATGTTGGGTTTCATGTGCATAAGCGAGCATTTCGCCAGCCTTCTCACTTGCAGTGCCAACCAGTAGTAAACCCATGCTAATTCCAGCAGCTTCACCGGCAACAGCACTGTCAGTGTACAACACATTTTTTATGTCTTCAAAGATGTCACTGTCAGCAGTGCCCAAAGCTGCAAGACCAAGACCTAGGCAGGCCCCATGCTGGATAACCTGTGCGTTTCAGCATATCAAGGCACTTAGCCACAGGTTTTTCTGATTTAAACAATGCTGATTGAAAAAAAAAAAATAAAATAAATAAGACATTTTATCAAAGAATCCAAGTACCTCAACATTAGTGCTTCTAAGGCTCTCGCGCAGAAATTTCTTGATGCCATCCCCGTGATTTGCGTGAATCAAACCAAGAGCATACAGAGCTCCACCTTCAGAGTATGGACTGCCAGCAGCCCCACCTTGTGGCAAGTAAGGTGCCATGAGAGATCTTCCTTGCTGCAGATGGCCTCTGTGTATGACACCAAGTCCTGCTGTTGCACTAAATTTAGCCCAATTTGTAGCCCTACTCAGCCAATCCTGACAATTCACACATACGTATTAGCTAAAAGTTAAAAGTTACTGAAATTAAACAAATCCTATGAGACAAACCAAAAAAAAGTAGGAAAACCTATAACTAAGCATATTGGCGCTTACCAGATTATCCCTAAGAAAAGTATCGACAGTTGTTCCAGCATGCATAATGGCATTCGCAAATATTGTTGCACTATGGCATACACTATTTCTCATGTCAACAGATTGCTTTATCGTCTTAAGAATGAGAAGATCTGATCTGTTAATGGGTGACAAAGAAAACATGCATTATAATTCTGATCACTTTTGTCTCAGCATGGTTGTGAGCTAACACATAACATTAAGTAACAAGTAAAATGGAAAATAGCCTCACTTGTTATGACTGTACAAGAATTGTAAAGTCAATTGTATTGAAGTCTGCCCAGACAAAATTCCTTCAAGCTTTTCCAGTCTCTCATCATATACTGCTTCCCTTGTATCAATAAGCGTTGTGTTTCTGTCTGCTTGAGCTCCATCGGTCATTTGAGCATCCTCTGATGTTGGGACAATTCCACTGGCTGAAGAATCTGGCTGAGCAGACCCCGACCCACTGGCTGAAGAATCTGGCTGAGCAGACCCCAACGATTGCAGAGGTTCTGAAGACTGTATGTTGAAACTAGGAAGCTGATCCATCACCTTCAGAAGGAAGGCTTGGTTCTCATTCTCCACAAGATCAAAGGCTATTTGAAATGCCAATAGTGCATCGTCCACATTTTCTGATAGCAAAAGTTTCTCGAATATGCTAGCAACAGATTCGTGATCATCTAAAAACATAAGGCCCTGACAAAGACACAGATAATCAGGGGATGGATGATACTCATAGTCCTTGATAAGAACACGGATAACCTGCAAGAGGTAAAGCACAGTAGGTGAAAAAACATCTCAAAGGATTAGTACGGAAATTAGTCCAACCTAAACTATCCAAAAACAACCACAACTCACACGTGAATAATAAATCATTCCCAAAAATTCAGATGATACCACATGTTTCATAATCAATTTATGTTCAAATCTAAAAATGGAGCTAAATAATATTTACGTAGTCGCCATGTAAATAAATCAAAACCTATGTATCAGGGTGCATTTCACTTCCAAGCAGAAGAATTAGTCCCATTATTATAACTTACATAAATCGATACAAATTAGGATATAAAATATTAGATAAACTGGAACCATTTGGATTCTTATATACCGCTTTCTGCTACATTAGTCCATTAACAGAAAGCCATGGACAAACATCACACACGCACTTTCTAAACTATTCTAAGAGCAATATCATATACATAATGCAAACTGGAAGAACACGATTGAAGCATATACGAAAAAGTCCAATGGAAACATGATTGTAGAATAGGGTAAATGATGTCACCTCACGCCGATATGTTCTGTTGTTGACAAATGAGTGACAGATATCAATGCAATATCTCATAATAAAATGAACATCAACATTATCACTGTTAAAAACAGTTTCCTCAAGTATATCCATTCGTCTGCACTCAATGGCCATTCCTATTGCTTGTTGACATTTTCCATCTATTCTACACCTGTGTAAAAGATGACAAGAACATCATATATGCAAGGTAACAATGTTCGTAAGTTTAGTGATTAAAATGACAGTTTTACATACTTATCAAGCATTCTCTCAACAATTACTTCCAGTCTAGGATCAATCACTGCTGACTTGTTTGCCTCATCTGCTTTGGTCTTGAGACTGGCATATTCATCAATTGCTCTGGCTGCAGGGGACCAAAGTGTTATATAAACTAGTAGAAGCACCAAAGCACAGGGAGCATCTCGTAAGAACATCGTTCTTTTTGAAAACATACCAAAAGATCATTTCATTCTGATTAATTAAAGAGAAGTACTTCAGCTTAACATCAAGAAAATTGAAAAAGAAAAAGAAAAAAAAAAAGAAATAATTCTTACCAAGCAGAGTATGAACGTAATCAGAATCTTCAGTTATATCAAATAGTGAACCGGCCCCCAAGGCATATGTCAATGAGTCACTAAGTTCACCCAAATAGTAGAAAACCTGATGACAGAAAATACCAGAGGTGTAAGTGGAACAGAGTTTAGAGGGAGTATGCATGGCCATTTCAAAGTGCTTGTATGCGGCTATCCGTTTTAATGCCGACAGAGTGGTGGCGTTATGCATTGGACACTCTGAAATTGAGGAATTTCGCAAACAAAGGTACTCAGTCACACATATAGTGTTAGGTTGCAAGCGCAATAGAAGTATTCCATAATATGTAGGAATTTCATATAATGTTTTTTTTTTTCATTTTATTAAAATAATCTAATGGATATAATTATTTTATTTTCTATAATTTATGGAACAAGCTTACTAAAAAAACCTATTGAACGAATGATGAATGGAAGCACAAGCATGCTCTAAGGCATCAACACGTTGGGCATGATCAGAATGGTCCTCTCCCGTTGAATGGGATAGATGGGTGCAATAAATAGTTGATTGGCCAAATGGAAGGAGAGAGTAGTGATAGGATGATTTAGTATTTGACGGTAAAGCTGGACTAACTAAAGAAGCAGAGGAGCCCACATTCGTCAAAGTACCAAGTCGATGAGGTTTAAAAGGGCAATGGGAAGAGAAAGAGTCGGAAAAAGGGAAGTTAAATTCCTACTTCAAAACCTCTACTATAGGACTAACGGAAGAAGAATTTATAGAATATGGCATGGGAGTTCCTAGAGAGAGAGGGGAAAAAAAAAGAAGAACAAGGACTCAATAAGGATAGTATCATTTTGAGGAAGAGTTCTTGTTGCTTATTTTATAGTATTTGACTATGTACGCTGATGAATTTTGTGTTTCTTTTCATTTCCTTAGTAATGTATGTACTAAATTGTATTATGTATTTCTGATTTGTGTTCTTGCATTCTTATGACTAATTGAGGTTGATTTTCCGGTTTGAAATTGAGTGTGTAATTGCACCATCTACATTATTGTTTTTTCACATTTTGGTGTTTCATGTTGCCGAGGCCTCGCTATGACATTACCTCGTGGCTGTTCCACAGGAAAATCGCCTCGGAAAGCCGTTCACTTTATAAAACTATGTAACTACCACATCATTACCTGTGAAAGTGAGGTACTTCGAATGATGCTGGTGAGTTGTCAACTTCATCCAATCCACCACAAAGAAGCTGAATATAAAATTTTGACCTATCCTATTTAATATATGTAACATGAACGCTACCCCGAGAATCCAACTTTAGGTCAAAAAAAGAAAAAAACAAAAAAAGAAACTGGA